TCTGTTGCCTTTTAATATTCGAACTGTCTAAGCATCTGCTCGGTTTTTAGCCTCGTCGGAAAAAAGAAATTTAAAAATATGCGACATGTCGGAAAAATCATGAGTAAACGAGCCTTAAAAGCCATCACTGAACATGCCGCTCGTTACTGATGAAATAAAACCCAAGCCCAAATTAAAGATAAACAAAATATGCTTAACAACCAGTTATTCCAATATTCACACTTAACTTTTACCTGCGATAAATGTGGGCAGGAATTTCAAAATAGTTCTCTTTATTCGCCTAGTGCTGATAAAGAAGAATTAGCCCAGCATCCTACTTACTGTGCTAATTGTGTAGAACCTAATTTATTAGTGCCAGTTTCCACCAATTCCAATTCTAAGAAAAAGCCCAAAGTTAAACCCAAAAAAAATCCAGTTACCTATTACCAATGCATGTCCGCCTGCTGTCAGCAAGGCATCAGTCCGAAAAGAATTACCCAAATAGCCCATGAATGTAAACATAATAGTGCGGGGATTCTATCACAAAGAACTAACGAAATTAGAAAGTTAAATGAAGCCTATCAGCAAATTGGGATTTGTTTGACTAATTTGTTGCAACCCGTTAAAGAAGAATAAATATGATTGACTGCTGTGAATTGGCTTTGCGGAATGGTGAATTAGCCTTACGCATTGCTTATGGAGCCTTTGGCACTATTGCCTTGTTCCTGTTAATGTTCTTTGGTTATAACCTGAAATTAAAAAAAGGACAAATCAACTTAGACAAACGGACCGAAAAGTTAGAAAAAAAGAATGGGCATGAATTAGACTTAATTACTCAGTTAAAAACCAAAGATGAAGAAAAGCAGAAACAGATAGAGGAACTAAAAAAGGAAGTAGAGAGATTAAAAAATAAAAGTGGATAAATGTTTATTTTGTCAAAAGAGAAAACCTTTTTTAAATCCTTACTTCTGTTTAGTGTGCCAATTTACCCAACTACCTTGGAATTAATAATAAATTATGCCTAAAAAAGACAAAGACTTCGTTAAAGAATTCCAAACGGCTCAAAGCCAAGGAAATTTTAAACCTAGTCAAATCAAAAAAAGCCGTTCCGCCGAGGACTTAACTCCTAACTCTCCTGATAAAAAAGAAAAAGAATTAGAACAGCAAAGGAATTTCGAAGCCCAAAAAGCCCAGAATTACTTAGAACAGATTACTAAACTGACTGCGGAGTTAGATGATAAAGAGCAAGTCATTAAAGAACTCACCAAAACTAATAACCAATTAACTGACCACAATAATGAGTTACGATTAAACCACTTAAAAACTTCTGACCAATTATCCACCAGTCAAAAAAATGAGGATAAATACTTTACTAAATACCAAGCAGAAAGCAAGTTAACTCAGCAACTCAAACCCCAACTAGCTAAACTGCAAAAAGACCTCACTATTACTCAACAAGACCTTAAATCTGCCCAAAGAGTAATTGAACTCAGACTAACTAAACCCGATAATAATCAAGAAAATTCCTTTGACTACTGAACTTGAATCCGAATTGGATTACTAGCACTAATAGTTTACTTATCCTTCAACAATCAAGAAAAACAATATGACAAGCATTAATCCCTTAGATATTAAAAAAGCTGTTCGTGGCTGACTAGAAGAAAAATGAAATCGTTATGTTCAGCACCCAATTGAAAGAAAAACGGAACAAATGGAAAATCAAGTTAGTCAAACCCTTAACACTTATTCCAGCAAAGCCAAAGAGAAAGTCAACCTTTACTCAGATAAAGCTAAAACCACGGCTTATAAGCCAATTGGTTATTACCGACAACAGAAAACCTTCCGTCGGGGTTTATTTTGGATTGCGGTTGGTTTATTGATTGTCCTGTGAATTTTAAGTGGAAGTTAAAAATTATGGAAAACAAAGAACAAATAATAATTATTGCTCTGGTAGTTTTGGCAATTTACCTTTATTATCGGCAAAATCAGCCAAATATTAAGAGTAATAACCAAGAGATTCAAAACTTAAAGCAGCAAGTCAATCATTACCAATCTCTTTATCAAAAAAGAGTAGCCAAAGATTTAGATGCCAAAACCTTAAATTCCGAATGAGAAACCCGTTATAATCAGTTAGAAAGTTTAAATAATCAAACTTACCGGGAAAAAAATGAACTGGCTAAATATCAAGTCTTAATCGAAAAAAAGGTGGAAGACTTAGAACAGCAGTTAGTTAATTTGGCTAAACAAAAAATCAAGAGTAAAAAAGATGCCCAAAGATTATTAACTGACTTGGAAAATAAGTGAGCCGAAGAAAAGGAGAAATTAGAAAGAAAATTAAGAGGAGAGGTAAGGACGAGGATAGTGAGAGGAGAATATGACCAACTAAAAGCTAAATATGACCGACTTCTTGCCGAAGCCAATGATAAATTTCCGAGAATAGAAAAAGTCCACCAAGAATTAATGAAACAACATGAGGAATCAAAAGAAGAGATGATTAACCAATTTAAGCAACACCAAGACCAATTAAGAAAAATAAATATTCTTTTTGACCCTGCTGCTAATGATTATGAAACTATTGACTTTAATGGCCTCTACTCTCTTTTACAGCAAATAGCAGAGAGAGAGAGAGAGAGAGACGATAATGCCTCCTCAACCTTACCGAAGGAGGAGAAAGAAAAACTAATCATCCTCCTAAAAAAAGAGTTAGAATTAGAAAGAAGCAAAAGAAGAGAATATGAAACCTATTTAAGAAGTATTGGAAAAATGAAATATTAATTTTTACAAGTAGCAAAAAATAAATAAATTTTAAGAGATAACTATGAAATTCACAATCAATAAAATCAGCCTTTGTGGCTTAAATATTACTAAATAACTATGGGATGAGGTGATTTTTTTTGAGGAGCACTCGAAACTGGGTTGGATATGCTTCCCGTTGCTGGTAAGGCTCTTAAAAAAGGAATAAAGACAGTAAAAAGAGGAGTGGGTGCCTATAAGGATTTACGAACCGGGGGAGGAATTGATTTTGGCGATTTATCAAGTGATATTGGAGACTTAAAGAATGGTTTAGCCGGAGCCAAAGCCCAGATTGAAAGTCAAGGCAAAGCTCTCCAAGGTCAAATTGACGGAGTTAAGTCTGAACTCGAAGGAGCCTTAAAACAGCAAGGAGAAAAATTTGACCAAGAAATCAAAGCCCAAGATGCCAAAATTGCTACTTTATCAGGAGAACAAAAAAGACAAGCCGAAGAAACCAAAAAAGCCTTACAAAAGCAAAAGCAACAGTTAGAAAAAGCCTTACAGGAAGTCACAGAAAATTTAACTAAGGCTCAAAATCAGTTAAGGAAAGAGTTGGATGACTTCAAAAACGAAGTCAACGAAAGATTTGAGAAGCAGGAAAAGAAAATTCTTGATAACAAACGCAAAATTGAAGAAGAGAAATGCCAAAGAGAAGCCGAAATCAGAGAAGTAAAAGACAAGATTAAAATTGCTAACACTAAAATTGAAAACTTACAGCAAGAAAAAGAAGAATTGCAGGATAACTTTAATAAATACCAATTCCAAACTAATCAAAAAATAAATGAGGTTCAGACGGAATTAGAAGACACCCAAGCCGAATTCCAATCCAAACTAAAACTCCAAGAGGTCAAATATCAGAATGATTTAGAGGAAGCCAAAGAAGAGTTTGAAAACCAAACTAAAATCGTTGAAACTCAAATTAAAGATACGCGGGAAGCCCTGGAAGAACAGGAAGAAGAATTAAGCAATATTAAGTATGAACAAAAGAAATCCAAACTAGAACAACAACAAATTTTTGAAGAACTCCAAGAAACAAATGATATTCTTCACTTCCAAAAACATAAATTAGACTTTGTGGCTCAGCAAATGGAAGAAATTCACGAGGAAGTTCACGACCGCATGGATAAATTATCCCAAAAGTTAGACCAAAAAACTAATGAAGTATTAAACATTACCAAAGACACCAATAAAAAAGTTGACAAATTAACCGAGGAAGTAAAAAACATTCAACAAACCACTGAACAACTTCAAGAACAAATCAAAAAGAACAAGGAAGAAACTGAACAAGTTAAAAAAGAGGCTAAACTGGCTAATGAACGACTAGATAATTTATTAAAAATTCAGGCTCTTTTTGATTATTCTGCCGAACAATCTAAAATAAACAAAATTGAAAAATCCCTCGAACTCAAAGCCGAAGAAACTAAATTACTAGCCACTTTAAACTTATTAAAAGAAACTAAACAATTAATCCCGTTAGAATTTAGCGAAAGAGAATGAAAGGTTGGTATTAAGCAAGGCACCGAAAAAGATATTCCTCGTCCGGAAGGTTATTTATTAAGTCCCAACTCTTCCTGAGCCAAGAAATACACCCCTGAACAGTTAAGAGAATGAGGCTGAGACACGCGTTTGCTAGGAGAAAATGAAAAAGCACCTTTAACTGAGGAAGATAAAAGAAAGCCCGAACAAGTTGACCCATCAGCAACCGAGAAATCAAAATCAGAAGAGCAAAAGGAAAGTGATAATTCTCTTTTAGAAAAATTTACTGAATTAGAAAAAGAAACTTTGGCAAGATTACAAGAAATTCAACAGCAAATTAATCAGAATATCCAAGAAGTAGAAAATTCACCTCCACTACCTCCTTCGGCTACTCAGCAAAAATTCCAATCTATTCAACAGGAAATTCAGGAAAAGAAGCAACAATTAAAGCAAAAACAACAAGAAATTAAGAATTTAGAGAAAAAGCCTTTTTCGGATGAAAATCAGCAGCAATTACAACAAGCCAAGGAGGAGAAAAAAGAGGTCGTGAGACAATTAGAGGAAGCCCAAACCCAATTATCAGACCCTTCTTTCCAATTCGAACAAGAATTAGAAAAGTTTGAGGAACAAGTGAATGAGGATAAAAAAGAGGAAGTTGAACAGCAATGGTCTACTATCCAAACCCTTAGTCAGCAAGCCCTCCAAGAACAAACCGAGGAAGAGAAAGAAGAAAAGGAACAGCAAGAACACGAGACGGATAAAAAACTGGAAGAACTAACCCAACAGTTAAAAGAAATGGAGCAAACTGTTGCTGCTTCTCAAAAACAGATGACAAAGTTTATGCTGTTCCTGATTATTTTCCTCTTGGAGTATGTAGTTTATAAACGAAATGGCTTGCCGGGTCTAGTTATCTTAAATGTCCTGCTCGCGATTGCTTACTACCATCGCGAAACTTTAAAAGAACATGCGGAACTATGAGGCAAATATTTACTAATCCTTGGTTATGTGATGGGGAATGTGCTGGCTTACTCCGCTCCCGAACAAGAAAAATATAAATGGCCGAGTGTAATTGGTTTTAACTTAGCCATTTTAGGCATTTATGGTTATACTCTATACCAAAAAAAGCAAGAGGAAGCCAAAATATCTATCTTTTATCAACGACAAACCAAAGAAATTTGTCAGGAAAATAATGTCACTAAGGAAGAATGAAGAGATATTCAGCACACAAGCACTAAAACAGGGGGAATTATTGATGAATACAGCATTTTTTCTAATCCTGGAAGTGAAATCAGAACCGAACAATTAGAAGACTTAAAAACTGTTATCCAAAACAAAGCAGAAGTCCACCAAAAAGAATTAGAACTACAACAACAAACCGAAACTCTCCAAAAAGCAACTGAAATAGAAGAAAAACTAAAAGTAGTCCAAGCCAATTTATCAGATTCACCAATGACCTGAGATAAAATTAAAGAAAGATATCCGGAATTTGTTAGCCGTTCGGTCTTCTTAAAAGAACTAGAAAAAGTCGATAAATTGCTAAGCCAAGATAAAGAAAATGAACCAACTAAATCTCTCGTAGTCCGATTAGGAAAAATCCCTCTCCTGAGCGAAGAAGAAAATCAACTATTAGCCCAATTATATTTAACTCCCGAGCAATATCTCGCAATTTCCCTCCAAGCCCAATACTTAACGCCCGAAGAAAAAGCCGAAATAACCAATAATTATTCTTTCTTAACTACTACTCAAAAATTGCAGTTAATTAACTCAGGATTAAACAATTTAGGAGTAAACACTTTGGAAAAGAAAGAAAGATTTGTAGAATTAAACCATACTCTTTACCAAGAAAAGAAAACTTTTGGTCTTACTACCTCAGAAAAAGAAGGAATATTAAGACTATTAATTAATACTTTAAATCTTAGTCAAGAGCAACGCACTTCCTTAGAAAATATGGGAGTTAGTTTTTTTGATGCTACTAACTGGCAAGTAAGTGAAGAGCAAAAAAATAACTTATTGAAATTTGGTTTAAGTCGAATTGAGTTAACCAGAGAGCAGCAAGAAAACTTAACTCATACCGGTAATTTAAAGGCTTTTAGTTTAGAGTCCAAACAAAAAAATATCCTAACTAGTCTAAGCCCCTTATTGAAAGAAAATAGATACTCCCAGGAAGCACATGACCTTATTAATTCCTTAGATTTAAAATTTAACACTTTATCTTTTTTAGTTAACCACCAAATAATTCCTAATCCTCAGACTGATTTTGGTAAAGCACCTAATCCTTACTTAACTTTGAAGGCTAAGTTTTTGGCAGGAGAGCAAAAATCTTTATTAGAAAAAGCCAAAGAGCAAGAAAAGTCTCTCAGAGAAGAAGAAATTCAAGAACAAAAAATTTCCATTATCCGCTCTTTACTAACTCTCGCCCAAAAAAGAGAAGAAAGACAAAGTTTAAATATTAGTTTGCCACTGGATAGTTGAGTAAATAGTGGAGTCTTGCAACCTTATCAGAGTAATATTTTACTCACCCTCGGATTTAAGACTGTTCCTAAATATAATTACTGACAATTACTAATTTTTGTTGTTGAAAACTTTACGGATTACTCCTGAGATGATTTTCTAACCGAGAATATGAGTTTAAGTGAAGATTATCAAGACTACTTAAACTCTTTAAATAACCAAGAAATAACCATCAATAAGACTATTTGGGAAAAGTTTGTTTCCTCAAAAAGCAAAAAAGAAAGACAAATCTTTAAAGACTTAAACTTGGAAGAACTAATTAACGAAAAAATTAACCAAGCCTTAACTGGTTATCAGCCCAAAGAAATCTTTTATGACAGCCAGGAAGAATTATCCGAAACCGAAGAAATTACAGACCCAAAACCTACTTCCTCCACTTCTCGTTATGATAATCTTTTTGAAAATCTCAATCAAGAAGAAGCCGAACGACAAAAAAAGAAACTAGCCCGCGAGGAAGCCCGTAAAAAACTCGAAGAAGCCGAATTAAAACGCCGCGAAGATTTGCTGAGTGAAAAAGACCATAAATTAAAAGAGCAAGAAGAAAGAAGACAAAGAGAAAAAGAGTTAGCAGATCAGGAGGAAAAGAAAAGACAAGAACTAAAAGAAGCAAGAGAAAAAGCATTAAAAGAAGAGACTGAAACTCATTTAGCCAATCAACAGAAAATTATTGAAGAACAGCAAAAATCCCGCGAGGAAGCCTTTAAAAACCAGCAAAAAGAAGCAGAGTTAGCCGAACAGAAGAAGAAAGCGGACATTGAGAACCTGGAAAAGCAGAATAAGTTCGCTCAGGAACAGTTAGAAAAACAAAAGGAACTCTTAGAAAAAGAGACTCAGGAAAAGTTGGCTAAAATTGATGCAGAAGACCAAGCCGAAAGACAAAAAATTTTAAAACAACAAAAAGAACGAGAAATAGCCTTAGAAAATGAGAAAAAAGAGAATGAAAGAAACTTACAAGACCAGAAGCAACGCTGAGAAGATGAATTAAAGAAATTAAAACAAAACAATGAAAAAGAACTCCAAGAAGCCAAAGATAAACTAGTTGCCGACAAAGCCAAAGCCGAAGAAGAATTAAACCGCTTAAAAGAGGAAGAAAAATTAGCCAAAGAACGACAAGCCAAAGACAAAATTGAGGATGAAAAGAGAAAGCATGCCCGAATTAAGGAATTTGCAGTCAGCAAATTACAGGCCAAAGCCTGAGAAGAATTGACTAACTATTCCTTAGGTCATGATGAAGTAAAATTTGGCACTCTTCTCAATGGAAGTCCTATCAATTACCATTTCCAAAAATCACGAAGTCGAGGTGGCTATGTCCAAATGCCCTCCGTAAAAGAAATCTTCACTCACTATCCCGGAGTAAAAATTAAGTTAGTGGGAGTGGAAGATTTAAAGGATAAATTAGCAGGAGATAGACCTATGAATTATGAGGATGTCAAAAATGTGGTTAAATTGGCTAATAGATATCCTGGCTTTTATACCGAAGAAGAATGACGACAAAAAATTAAGGAGTTGGACGAGATAGGATTGTTAGAATAAAAACATTAAATTTCTTGTTCTATTAAAACTGGCTCCTTTCAAACAAACTTGCCAATTATCCAATAAGATAGTCAAGCAAAAATTATTCAAAATACCAAAACTGTTAAGAATCAAACGCCACTTAATATCATAGCGTATTTTTTTACTGAACTTTCGAGGGTCGGACTAATAGTTATTACTCCTAAATTGTAAGTATTGGCTTTAATTTCTTCTTCGTGCTTTTTAGAAAGTCAATTCATCGGTTTACTTAGCACTGATTTTTTTAACTTATTATCTACTTCTTCAATCTTAGGAATATACTCTACTATTTTTTCTTTACTAGCAAAAGAGGTTTTAATAAGCATTCAAGCACTTCCTAATCCTACTCCTAAAAGCCCCCAAGTTAGCAAGAGGGCAACAGGTAAACCAATTAAATTGGCTAGTAATGATATTCAAGTTTTTCGGCTACTTTTGGCTTTTTTGTAATTGTCGTATTTTTGTAATGTTTGGAGGTCGGTCATATTTTTTCTTGTTTATCCTGAATTATCAGGAATTAGCAAGCAAGAAATTTTTTTAAGAAAAGACCAAGATTTTGGTTTAAAAAAATCAAAATATTTCCCCTTTCTGACCTTAGTTTTGTGAAAGTTAGTTAAATTTTGCTCTCTCTCTCTCTCTCTCTCTCTCTCTCTCTCTCTCTGTTCTGTAACTGCTATCTATATCTGCCATGCCTATTTCTTTATCTCTGTTCCAACTAAAAGGAGTAATTGTTTTTTTTTTTTTGTTAAAAGTTCTTGATTCATAGTTATTTGACTTTCTCTTCTAAATCTTTTACTCTTTTCTGTAAATCCTTAATTTCTTTTGACTGGTTTTTTTGTTCATCAAATTTTTTGATAGCACATTTTCGACAAACAGTTTTGTTATTACAATAAACGCATTGCTCGCAATTGCCTACAATGTTTCCATAGCCATCTATCCAGTTTCCTTTCTCATCGATATCAGATTTGTCGGTTAATTCTATCATATTATACTCACCGCAGATTTTACAATCACTAGCAAAACCATCAGTCGCTTCTCTTTTTATATTGCCACATGCTTGACATTTTTTTATTGAACATTCGGAACAAATTCCAAGACAACCGCATTCAGGAAAGGGATTGCGTTCACCAAACCCATTATCATAGTCTTTACACAATCCACATCTGAATTGGTAATTTACTCTCCTTAAATCTTTGGTATTTTTTTTGCACTTATAACAACTTGGCATATATATTATTAATTTTACACCTCCATATAGATACTGTATTTAGATTTTGCATAAAATTATAATATAGATAAAAAGTGAAAAGTAGTCAAGGTTTAAACTCCTTGATTATTAAGGGCTTTTTAAGAAAAACTTCTGTTTATTTTACTTTTTAATGTCTTTTTAGTTCCATTTTTCGCTAAGTAAATTAATTCTTTCAATTTTACTAACCCTCAAGCAATTAACCAGAAACCAAAAAAACTGACAACAACAAATAGTAAAAACTTTCCGCATTCTTGCTTTTCTATTCACCCAAACATTGGTATCATATATTTCTTTCACGGTTTAATAAAGTATTTTTCCTCAACGGAAAGTCTTCTTATAAGATTGGCAAAAAAGAACAGGACGGGTTGAATAAAAAGATAAACAAAAGTCTTTTTCTGATAAATATTTTTGGCTGGAAATTTAGCAAACTTAAAAAAGTAAAATAAGTTCAAGGGTATCGCGATAAAATGTCAAATTATTGAATAAGTTCACCAAAAAACGCCACGGGAAATGCCTTGCTCGCTTAACTGTTTTGGGAGATAAGTGGTGAATATCACCATGCTTAGCAAATTACCGATAACCACAATTAAACCAAGCATTTCCCCTTTTTTTCTAACCTTCCCTTCAGACTCATTTTTCAACTCAACCGCACTATAAAAACAAGTCAAAATTGAACTTCAAACGCATCAAAAGACAGTAATTCACTCCCAAAAGAAATTAAAAGGAGCCTCGACAATTTTATTGCCACCATAAAGGTAATTATTAAAAATTAGGGAGCAAATTAAAGAAAAAATATTGAGAGCAATAATTAATCACAAGATTAATCTTTTACTGCCGTTTTTTTTTTTTTTTTTTTTTGTAAAAATCATAATCGAATGACACATTAAAATAACTTTTAAATAATTTTAGTAAACTCGACCGTTAAGCAATTAGTCACTAGTATTATCAGGTATCATGCTGATTATCAACTACCCTTTCTTTCTTGCGACGAGTTAATAACCAAACTATTAAACCACCAAGCGCCAAGGCACCGACTATGGCAAAACCAATAAACCAAGGATTTTGATACCACTTTCCTTTGGACTCAACAGTAGTGTATTTTTTTAAGAGTTTATCTCAGAATTGTTCTTCTGAGAGGGAGTCAGGACCAACTTTTATTGAACCAAATGCATTGGCAGGAGACAAGAAGGTAAGTCCAGTCCCAGTATTTTCACTTGAATTACCTGTGCCGCTCAATTGGCGAGGATTAGATAACTTTTTAATTATTGACTGCTCCTCAGCACTCGAGATATTACTGTTATCGAATTCTTCCGAGGCCAAGCGATTAAGATGGTTAGTTAAATTAGTCAGTCATTGGCGGGCTCGATTTTCTATGCCACTTCTTTGGAGCGCTTGATTAATTTTTTCCCCATTTTTGGCTAACGTTGAAGGACTTATATCGACAAAACTCTCCAACTCTTCAGGACTAAAATTTTTAAGAAGAATTTCAGACCCTTCTGCCGTTAGTTTTATCATTTCGGCTAATAATTCCTCATCAAGAACAGCATCTCAAAAGTTAATGAATGAGTTTGCCAAAGGTTTTAATTCTGGATATTGGTGAAACTCAGCGGGGGCATAACTAGTTAAATATTCTGTTGCCAGACTTTTCCCTTTCTCTTTGGCTACCAAAACTTCATCAGCACTGAGATTTTTGAAAAGATTTATTAATTTTTTTATGGCTCCTAAAATCTGCCGTTTGGTTGGTCTTTGCCCTGAACTCTGAGCCATTTGGGCCATTTTATACATTGACCTTAATTGTTTAACTTTTTTAACTAAGTTGACTTCGGCTTTATGGTAAGCACTATCGCTTATTTTTTTGGTTGACTTTCGTGCAGCAATTTTTTCTAGTTGCTTGGTATATAGGGGTGCTAAAATCCTCATTCTTTGCTCTCAAGGGATTTTTTCTCGCTCCAATCGCACACTTTCGATGATGATTTCCTCACTTGCTAAAGAGGACGCAAAATCCACCAACGCGTGAAAAAAATTTTTCCAATCACCTCGTCAATTATTTGGTATGTATGTTTGTGGAGCATTATCTATTTTGCCATCAATTCATTCTTTCACGGCTTCTTTGCCGATAATTTTAAAGTTCCGTCATTCGGTTTGATTGAAATTTAAGATTGCTTTTTCTAACTCTTTACTCTCTTGCTTGTTTATCTTTTTGCCTTCTAATCCGCTTATTATTAAATTTTTGATATATTCTTTATTTACGTCTTGTGTCATATATATATATATATATATATATAGTTTTATGTTATTTTGTTATTCTATTTATGTTTAATTTTGAATTCCAACATCCTTCTCGTGTTTGTCATTTATCATACATTATTCTATTTTATTTAATGGTCATAACTCACCACCTCTGAATTCTCCTTCAAAATTACTTAATGGACTAGCCGAAATCAAGAAAGTATCCAAGTCAGACCTTAAATTATTTTTAGCCGAAGATCACACTTCCTTTAGTGTTCTCTCGGTCTCCACTAAACACATTGAATCCACTAACCGCATTAGCGTTACCTTATCCAAAAACAGTGCCCGTTCTTTTTACTTGGGTAAAGACTTAAAAAAGTCTGCTGCTGCCTTATCTAACCCAACTAAGCTACCCGATGACTGCTTAAAAGATGCCCAAAACTGCACTTACTTCCAATTCTTCAGTAGTAAAGAAAAGAAACTCTACACCCGCTTTAAAGACAACTTTGAAGCTAATTTCCTTTGCTCCTGCTCACCCCAAAAATGTCCTCATCAACATTTATTCTTAACGGGTACTTACAATACCAGTTTAGCCAACCATTATGCCTGAACTACTAATTGAGACATTAATGACCCCTGCTGGAACACTTTTCAAAAACCCTGACTCAAAGAATGAGCCACTAAATTTGACCCGCAAGCTGAACCCATGAAAGTTTTACTTCCTCCCATTCAGGAAGATGCCACTCAATTTACCACTATCAAAAAACATTTTGCTCAATTAATTAAAAACATTAACCGCATATTTAAACCTGCTAACTGAAAATGAGTAGTCGTTTTTGAATTACAAAAAAATGGTAATTGACATTGACACCTCTTCTCGACTCCCTTTATCCCTTATTCTCATAAATGTGTACTCAGTCACAGCAAAACTAAAGCCTGTTGAAATTGTCGCACTTACTTAAATAAATTGTGAACTCACGGAAGAGTAGAAAGTCGCAGTTTAAATAAGCAAGCAGCGGGCCAATATTTAGCCAAGTATCTCAGTAAATCTTTTCACTTACGCAGTCTCTATGCTCAACACGGCTTAAAAGATAAACATCGGGCTTATCACTTTTACCAAAATCTTTATGATTATGAGTCAAGAACAGTTAGTTTAGATAGTAAAAGTAAAATTGACCAATTAACCGGAACTAAGTTAAATGGTAATCAGACTGTTTTTCGCCATTATGATTACCAAACCCAGCAAACTTCTTATTATTACAAAACCAATAAAAAACTAATCGGTAAATGTGCTAAACCAATTCTCATCAAAAAAAACTACCGCTTAGGTACTCGTTCTTTAAATCCTCTCTCACTTCTTAAATTAGCCACTAAAAGCAGTAAAAAAGAAGTCTATTTGCTAAAAAAACCCCAAAAGCCTTTACAAATAGACTTCCAAGAATTCATTATCACTCGTTTACTCCTGCTCTGTAAATCTGCGGAATTTACTCATATTCCACTCGAACAGGAAAAAGTTCCCAAAGAAGCCCAGCAGTGCAGTGGTGCTATTTATACCCATTTTCAAACCAAGCCCGTCTTACATTTTCAATTCTTACCGGAAAATGCCACTGTAGTAAGAACTTTTATCGAAAAATTAGACACTTATGCTCTGGAATTTGATATGGAAGAAAGCCAAGACTTCTACGCTTACCCAATTGTCCATGACTCCAAACACCAAACCATCCAACAAGCAGGTGGCACCTGCCCTTGTGATCCAATTCGTGCTCGCAACCAATACTTAAATAACTGACACTTAGACTATGCCAATAATTCCGACACTTGACGAAGAACACCTATGTAAGAGTTGAGACACAACTCCGTGTTTAACCACGGGAAACATCTGAGCCAAGTCAGACTAACCATAACGTTAGGTTCTTCTATCCCTCTGCCACTGACTTGGTGCTCCTGCCTACTTAGGTTCGGCATAGGGAGTAATAAAAATAAAAAATGGTGAGGTGTCCATGCCTCACCACTAATTTAAAAAAAAACTATGTTCACTCTCATTCTTACTTTAATTAACACTCTCCTTATTTTCCTTATCTTCTTCTGAATAATTAATGCTCCTTGTGAAAAATGTGGTCGCAAAAGAAAACTAGGACTAGTCCTCCAAGATTTCTTTAGGCCTGATAATAAGTGCTTAAAATGCCAAAAAGAAGAACAACCAAAAAAACAATACGAACTCTAATTATGTCCCAAGAATTACAAATTAAAGCCACCATTATTGATATTGAATCCAAAACTGACAAAAATGGCCATCCCTACT